GTAGAAACTAACAATGATTTGATTAGCTATATTGTCTTGATTGCCTACTGATTGTTTAAATGACTTGCTTTACAGCAAAATATAGGCCGTGACTCAGGGATATTGAAAAGTGGGTTATGGGTTTTCTGTTTATCTGCTTCTCTACTTTACGGGTATTTTGTTACAGCTGTGCAACAAAACTTGGTGAAATCTGGTGTTACATGCATGCTGAGAATTTTGTTGTTAAGCAGGAGTTACTCGAGAATCTGACATTCTTCTTGTATATTTTAGTTAACCAAAAGCTAGTAAGTGGATAAATGTAGTCAAAAGTTGCCTATGTGTTTCAAAGCCTTGCTTACAATGAGATATTACAATTGTGTGCTGCCTCTTTTTTTCTTCCTTTCCTTTTTTGGGGGGTCTGGGTTTCAAACAATTTATGTACTATCTGACTCTTTTTCTTTTGTTGTTGGAAAGTTTCATTATGCATGAATTCTCAATGAGAAAAAAGAAAAGAAAAGAAAGTGTTGTTATGTGCCTTTCTAATCTATTAGCAACACACGGCCATCCTGTGTTGAGATCAGTTTTCTCGGATACTCTTATGTACTTTCACATTGTCAGGACACACAGATTTAATATAGTTCTATCTTCTGTATCATCTCTTTGTATATGTGTATGATGCGTATCCTGCTTTCTGAAATGTCTATTTTCTGATCCAGTCAAGGACATGCACCTTGAGGGAGGCTGTGATCTTTGGGAGTGTTATTGAGAAGGTCTCCATTCCGCATCTTCATGCTAGGTATGGTTGCTGGAAATATTTATAGTGGTAGCAGTGACATGCATTTTTAGGGCTTTAAAAGAAGATGTCATCATATTTGTACCGTGAGATTCTCTTAGTTCTGCTGATGGTCTTTCTATATTTTTGTGAGAACCATGAGAATTTCTCTAATGATTCTCACCCTACACTATTTATATGGTTGACAAAGTTATGTGGTAACTTCTCTTACCTGTTTATTTTATGATCATTGGTGTCACAAGTGCTCTGGAAGAAATGCATTCGGTTCAATGTACTAGAATCTGAAATTCAATTAAAATACTAATAAAGAGCTCAAGCAAGATGCTAGAAATTTATGCAGTGAACTGAAATCTGTTACAAGTTTCTGCACGTCCCTAATACTGTCATCCCTTCATTCTAATAATTGGAGTACCTACACCTACAAATTGCTTATATGGGAACTGCTAGCTTAGTAAACTATGTATACTTTGCTATATCATGGTTAAAATCTGCCTCTTTGGTTTAAAACAAGCCTGCAGTGAATATGAAAAAACCATTTGCAAATTGTGTACAGCCTTCATCCCACTTTAGGGCGTATAATTTGACTGGATTTTGTAGTAATTTGACTTCATGTCTTCAAAAGAAGGAAATAAGAGCAAACACATGTTAAGTAGGATATAAATACTATTAAATTGTTGGGTTTTAGTTCCAAAAGGATAGATACACTAAGAGTAGTCAGTAGCTCAATAACCAAACTTCACATTTTTTACTGGAAATTTTAGCTTAGGACAAGATTAGAAACAGGAAGAGTACTCTATTTCTATAACTTATTCTTGTTGCAACTTCCTCATCTTTTGCAAATAAAGACAGTTATTATCAAGGTATTTCTACTGTCACTGTAATATCTCATTCTTTGAGAAGTCTTTAACTTTTAATCGTTCTGGTATGCAGTGTAGCGCTGCTGAAACTTGCAGAGATGGAGTATTGTGGCACAACAAGGTATTCTACATGTTGTGCTTTCTTTTGAACTTTTTCCTTTTAGTTTACCCATGATTCAAGTGCCAGTAAAAAACTGTATACTAGGATATTTATCCTGGTTAATGTGAAGTAGCATTAGTTTACATCAGTCTGCATTCTTTTGAACTGTATACTAGGATATTTAATTATTTATCCTGGTTAATGTAAAGTAGCATTAGTTTACATCAGTCTGCATTCTTGGGGGGAAAAGTTCTGTATTTAGTTTTTAGGAATGGACCTACAGGAAATAGTTGCTTTTATTGAGATCAATGGGAGCTAAACTATACAGCTGGAATTTTTAAGCATCAGAATATGTTCAATCATGCAAGTCATGCTGCGTTATGCAGATTATTTTTTTCCGCTACAACTAGTCTGATCATTTTTTTCTTTCTTTTTGCTGCAGTTATTTCATCAAGTTACTGATTGAGAAGAAATATGCTTTGCCCTATCGTGTACTTGATGCCATGGTAGCACACTTCATGAATTTCTTTGATGAAACAAGAGTCATGCCTGTGATCTGGCACCTGTCACTTCTTGTATTTGTGCAGAGGTTAGTTTCACCCTTTCATTCTTGTGGTGTTTCTTCCTCTTTATGTCAAAATGGTAATTAAGCTCGAATGTTATTTTCTTATTTTGAATGATAAAAGCTTCAAGATTACTTCTTATACTTAACCCAATTGATAAGCTACACATTAGCCTCATTGACGTCTCGCCTTCTACTGATCATCTTTTCTCTCAAGTAATCATACATGCTTTAAATTCTTTTTAGTGTCCATGTGGATTAAAATTCTTATTTGAATATATAATTACAAATTTATTGACAGAATGGGAATGCAAAATGATGATTAACAACAATTTCTTTTATATTAAGGAACATGATGTAACGATTCTTGTTAATTCCTAATGTCTACTTCACTATGCTGTATGACTGACACTGCCTTTCTAAGTACATTTTTAGGTAGACAAGTGTTGTTACTTAGTTAGGTGATGTTATGTTCTTTTCTTTTAATAGCGCTTCAATGGTAACCTTGATATTGCCTTTGCATTATGGGGTCTTTCCTTTTTACATTCTTGTCAATTTGTCCAATAACATGATAGCTTTTGCAGAGTTCTGAATATTGCTTATACTATGTGGACAAATATTGTTACAGGTACAAAACTGAGATGAGGAAGGAGGATAAAGCTAACATAAGAGCACTTGTTGAAAGGCAAAGACATAGATTGGTATGCTTTTGTATTTTATTTTTCATTGCTGCTGTTCTGTTTTCTGTTGATGTAAGCAAATTCAAGTTATGTTTGTGCTTTCAAATGCAGATTACACCAGACATATTGAGGGAAATCGAAAAGAGCAGAAGTCGTGGGGAAAAGGAGGATGATGCAATGTTAATTGATATCCTCTCATTGATGGTTTAAATCTTTCTGTTACATATCTGCTTGAGCTTAATTTGGTCTATTTATACCGTTTCCTGCTATTGCCATAATATAGTGGGGTTCTTAATGTTTTAAAAACTGCTGATGAAACAAAAAATCTTTAAATCTTCCGTGACAGTTCATATGCTTAAATTCTGCTATTCCTGTGTGTGTGTGCATATCTGCATTGATGGGATAGGTTGTCATGCACAATAACAGTCATCTGTTTGTAAGTTTTGTGTATCGTTGAAGTTAGTTGCTTTTTGCAAGATGGATAATTTTTAACTTGTTTATTTCCTGTTGTTCTCTAATGACTGAAATAAAATAGTAGATGTAGCTATGATTTATTCATGTTGCTAAAGTTACTTGTTGGATGTTCCTATTAATATTTTTTCTGCTGCATAATTGGAAAATATATTTTCTTAACTCTGTATTACCAAGTCCTCTTTCTGTGATCAATAAAGCAATTGAAGAAGATAGGTTTGATATCCCCGATGTTCCTATGGAGGAGGACTAGATTTTCTCAGCAACCTCTATACGTGGTAAGATATTCGCTTATGTAAATGAAGTTTCTAGGTGTATTTATATACGCGCGAAGCTCCAAGCCAATTCTGCAGACTAAAAAGTTCTTTTTTCCCGTCAGATGCAGTATGTGATGGATGGTATACTAGCAGATTTAGGTTTCAATATGGAATAGAGATCGAGCTGTGTGACGAGATCGATGAGCATGCGTGCATGTGTGGGCCGTTGGAGTTGAACTAGAGATTTTGCAATATATTCTTTCGTGATATTTATATTTTTTGGTTCCGTCTTCATGGGCATATGCCTAAGCAGGTTTATGCAACGACGAACCTAAAAGTTGTAACTGCCGTGGTTTTTCGAAGTTTAGTGTATCAATGATACATGGGGTTAGATTTTACTATGACTCCATAGTCAATTTTACGTTTCTGTGGTGAATGAATTTTTCGTTTTTTTCTTTAATTATGTTCTTTGTTCTTAGTTTGTGCAACATTGTTTATCTATTATCTTTGCACAAATATGGATACTTACTTTTACCCACCAAGGTATAGATGAATGAAAAAACAAAAATAAATAGAATATGCCTAGTATTAATCTCCCACAAAGGTAAGGCTAATGTTAGCGTATAATCCACTCCTCAAATCCCACTTGTGGAGGTCTGGTCCAATTGATTTGCACAATCAAGTATTTCTGTCTGATATTTAATTAAACAAAAAATATTCCTTCTATAATAATGAAATTCACTTTTTTTTTTGATAATTAGTATACTTTCTACAAAAATTGGAGTTATAATCATATTTGATAAATACTTACGTAGCATAATTTATGAAATATAAACTTCTTGTATAGACACTCTTTTGTTGCATTTTGATGGTCAAATTTTTATTATTCATAGACATTAGAGTGAGTTTTGATATCTAAAAAGCAATAAAGGTAAAGGTAATGTATATACAAAAATTCTGTATACTCATTATTTTAATATACAAAACATATATATTATCCGTTAGGAAAAATCTTTTTGACCAGAATGATATTTTATCTATGTTATTTTACCTTTTAAAATATTTTTACCCTTTTAATTTTAATACCTTTTAACTAAAAAATAGAAAAAAGATCAGTATCTAAAAAATATATTATAGTTTTTTTTTAAATTTTCTGGTCAAATTCTAATCAAATTTTTTGACCATTTAACACTTCTTTCATTCGTTATTATTTTGATGGAGAATATATCGCATGAATCGGCCAACTATTGGGCCTCATGGCATTAATCTCGAAGAAAATCATTTCTGGCCCTGGCCCCAAAAAAAGTTGAAATCGCCGGGATTTGTTCGATCACAATTCACACAGCCAATTGAATAGCGCGCCTTCTGTGTCTGCAATGAAAGTAGCGAAAGAGATCCAGTTAAGGTGTTTACAGTGGTGGAGTATTGATGGATAAGTGATGCTATTGTTCCGGAGTAGTAGTTCTTCTTAATCAGCAGAAACGGAATCCTCCATGGTAATTCTATTTTGATCTCATTAGTTTAATGTTATGGATGAATTTATGAAACAATTTGGATTCGTTATTGATGTGATTACTACTAGAAGAACTAAGGAAGCAATTAAAAGAAGCTAAAATGGGAATTTTATTATTGCTGATATGCTCCTGCTGGAAATTCCTTTAACTATCTCTAAGCTAGTTAACCATAGATTTTGGGAGTAGTTTTTAAAATTCATTTTCAGATATATGTTTGGTCACGAAATTTGATTAGATTTTGGAAAATTTGATGTTCAAAGACTAGTATTTGGGACTTCTACAGACAAACTTCAAATTTTTTCGGAGTAGAATGCATGTCCAAGCACAATTTCAAAAACTCAATTTTTGAAGTTTCAAGTTTTAATTTAATAATTTATGGCCAAACGGGAGCTTTAGAAATTAGCCGACTAATTCTTTTTCGAAGTGTAGATAAACTTTTTAGGTATCATGAAATGTTGTAGGAGAAAGGTCACTTTAGGGGACTCTACTGTGCAGCTTTATTGTAATGGAGAACACTCGAGTAAAACATTGGTGAAATTCCTTTAGCAGTACTTCCCCTTGATTCTTCCCTATCATCACCAGAATGACACTTGGTTTGGTCACGTGTCTAATGAACGGGGAATAGAGGTCAACCCGATCCATGAATTCAACCCAAGATGATGTTAACCATTTTTTTTTATGACAAGGGAAACCCGCAGCCGCTATCCTTTGGGTGCGCACAGGGTAAAACCCCCACTCCTATGCAATAGCTCGCAAACCACATAGGAGAGGTAACCCGCACTAGGCAAGCCCGGTGCGATGAGCTCGACCCAGAAGGCACACCCCTTGGTTTCGCTGTCAAGGGGTTTCGAACTTGAGACCTCCAACATGGAAGTCCCAAGCCCAAACCACTGGGCCACCCTGAAGGGGTAAGATGATGTTAACCTTTAGCATTGTGAAGTTGAAAATGAGATCCACTTGACATATTCCTTATAAGTTTGATTGTAGCTGATGGCATAAAGTCCTGTGATTTGCATAAGTAGTGTCGGCCTATTGTCTGGATATCAGGTTGTGGGAATTCTAAAGCTTTACCTCATGTCCCAAGTTTATTGAAGTGGTTGGATTCTGAAATAGCATATTGTTTCTATTCACACACACACACTCATTCTCTCTCTCTATGTGTCTTCGCCGCTGGTTCTATGATCATCTGCCATAGTACATCTTAGCGGATTTAAATTTTGATGGTCAGACGGAAATTTGACGTCATAGACTTCATTCAACGACGTTTCCTCTTGATCTTCACCCTGCTCCTCTTTAACTGACTTGCCATCATCCTTCCCAACATTCTCTTCTATATCCGCCTTCATTTCCACAAATAATGTCGAGGTGTTTGGGCATGTATCAATGTCCCGGAAAGTACTTTTAGCCTCTGTTTACATATTAGATTGTATGTGAGGTAACAGAGAGTTGAAAGGTTTGTCGATGGAAGACTAGATGGCTTGGGATGGCTGTGGGGTTCTGTGTTAGGTGCTTGGTTTCAGGCTATTTATTGGAAAGAAGCTAGATTATGGAGTAGAATTGTGCTTATCGGATTGATGGATTTCATACTACTTGGCTACTTCATACACATTTGTAAGAGTTGTAGGATGCTTATAGCAATGATACATTCCTCATGCAACTTGGCTACTTAATGCACATCCATAAAAGTTCTAGGAATAATATCCTAGGAATTAATCTCTAATGAAATATGAATTTCACTTATGTAAATGAAGGGTTTTACGATCCCTCTGGAATTATGGTTTCCTGCCATTGCAATTGAAAGATAATTTCAATTGTACAAACCTCTGATTCAAAATGTTATGGTTTGCACAACTAACCAGCTATTAGAAGAAGGAAAATAAATCTAGAAGGAATGAAAAGTTATTAGAAATAAGGAAGAAGTTTAGAGGAGCAAAAAAAGAGCTAAAATGGGGTTCAGATATGGATTTCAATGCTTTCCATTGAGATGTCCCTGCTGGATATTCCTCTTACTGACTCTAACAAACTAACAAAAATGCAAACTGACTCTCCCCTTAAACATTTTTCAGCTTAGCATCCATCGCATCACAACAGTGACCAAGCTATTGAGTTAGGGGCATATATAGATTGATAGCATAACATATGACAATATTAAACCTTTTCAATAGTAGAGAGGCAATTATGACCCTTTCTCTAAAATATAAACAGAAGACTTCTCCTTTCTCCAAGAAGAAACAAAATGACAGACCATAGACAAAACTCAGAGCCTGAGCAGAAAAAATATCATTCTTGCTTTTTCCCAAAAGAGAACTGAAAGGAAATAGAGGAAATAAAAGATACGGGCAGTCAAACTTATTTGCCGAACGTTTTTATTTTTTGTTTTTTAAAAAAGAAGATAGAGTAACCATGAAGACCACTGTTTCTTGTGCTTCGTCCAACCCTGATAGTTGATGATCTTCTCATGTCATTTATTCTCTGTTGTTGTGTTTTTTGGTTGTAGTCTCAAGAGTACATCTCTTTTACTCTTGCAGGATATTTCTTTTTCTCTTGGATTCTAAATTCTTGTTTTATTCCTTACTTGAAGTGTGCACTTATTGATCGCTTGTGTGCCGCACCTTGCCTGAAGTGTGGTAGGCGCCATTCTGTTCTTTGCATTGCCTCAGGACCTGAATATTGCCTTTGTTTTCATTAGAGGCATGAAATGCTCAAAGTGTAATGTTCTTAAATTTGATTTGTCCTAGCTCCTATATTTAACAAACTATATGTTGTATTTTGTTTGACAGATATAATAGGTGTTATACATCAAATTATATGCACATCATTGCTTATTTTTTCACAAATAGTTTAGATATACATGAAAACAGGTCTAGTAGTACAACTTATATCTATAGTTGTACAACTAGGACTTATTTTCATAGCTGCTTCGCTTCGGGTTGGCAGTATGGTGGGGTGTTATATTGAATATGTTTCATACATTCTCAAAAAGTATTTCTTTTTTATTCATTTCGACATGCTCCACTGGTGCTTTAAAGTTTTTGGATTTGTTTCTGCTGTGGGTTCTTCTATTTTCTGATGAAAAAGTGATACTAGAACATTTGTGATGTCGGAGATGATATGTTTGGCTTATATCATATAATATAGCCATCAAGGTTAACCCACCTTGTACCAAAGGGGGTTAATCTAATCAGTTTTGTGGAAAAGAATTACTCTATACAAAGATATAATACATAATTATAGAAAGCTAACCACTTAACACAGATGGATTCCAGTATGCTTGTAAAGGGGTTAATCTGTTGCTTATATCATGCATTCAATTCCTTTGAACTTTTTTTTTCTTTTTTCAATTTATGTTTCCAGCCAGACCCCTTTCACTCTCCCTCTCACACCCCTTCTCTCTGTTTTTTGATGCATCCAAAGATTTAAATAAAAAGAGTAAGAAAGAAAAACGCAGATGACCTGATTCTGCATTCTGTTTATTTCAGCAGTCTCCTTGCTTCTGGCATCAGCCATGCAGTGATCTTTGTTTTCTTTCTCAGAGTAAGTAACCGTAGTAGTTCTTTGGTCACTATTTTTGCTATAATAAGCCAAATTTTAAATTTCTTTCACGCCAAATTGGTTGGGTAATGAACTAGTGATCTGCTTTTATGAATTTAGATAATTTTTCCCTAATTAGCTAGCTTTTGAGGTTGAGTTAGACCCAAGTGTCGTATGTTTACATGGTATAAGAGCTAGGTCGTTCCATGTTTGGGGCCCAATGTTATATTGTCCACTCTCCAGTTGGAAGAGTTGGCCCAGGGCATTGGGCTTGGGTGGGAAGATGTGGTTGGAGTTTGTATGATAGCCTGCTTATATGGACTTGGACAATCCTCCTCATGCGCTGGCGTTTGGGTTGTGAGTAAGGCCCAAATACCATATGTTTACCGGGATTGTTTCGTAGGCTAATATTGAAAATCTCATTCTAACAATTTTATATTTGATGTTTTACCATCTCATCTAACAATTTTAAGTTTGTGAATTTAAAACCTCTGTAAGTAGCATGCTTCCCGCCAAATTTTAATGATGTGGTTCTCTCAAATGTTTTAATATACAATCTTGGAGTAACAACAACAATAACATACCAAATGTAATCGCACAAGTGGAGGCTGGGGTGCGTAGAGTGTATGCAAACGTTACCCCTACCTTGTGGAGGTAGAGAGGCTATTTCCGAAAGACCCTCGGCGCTAGAACAACAAATCAAAGTAGTTATGGAAAAGGAAATACAACATTAAAGATACACAATCTTGGAGTGGCTGAATAGTTATTGTGTCTCTTTCTATTTCTGATTATTGAGTTTTGTGATGTTGCTTATTGCTGTCTTTGTAGCTTTCTTCTAGTGAGGAATAAAAATGGTCTATTGATGTTATCCAAGTCACAAACTGCACGTGTTAGGTGTTAGGTCTAGTGGATATCTCATTACAGGATAATAAAAGAATGGTGAAAGTTTTGATTTGTTTGCTTTATCTTTTAAGGAAGGTGCTAGACTTCTAAGAATTCAGAAAGACTCCTCATTGTGTTGGGCATCAGAATGATAGTTGAATCGAGGAGTTCAACAGAAATTCTGCATTTGCATTAGCCTAAGGTTTATAAATATTTGATTTGTTAAATTGCTTGTGTTTAGTAATTTAATTAGCAGAATCTTGAAAATTCTTACCAACGTTTTCGTCGTTAGTTCTAGATAGTTTTAAAGAAGAAAGTTGGAAAGTAAGTTTTGGGGGACTAGGTACTATTGTGCAGATTAATACAATTTCATCAAGACATTCATGAAGATAAATACGATAGTAATAAGAAAAGGGAGAAGGCACAAGTAACCCCTAGACTATGACCGAAATTCCAGAGACACACCTTAACTAAACTAAGATTCTATTACCCCCTAACTCATTTTATATATAGTATTGTACACCTTTTGGCTTATGTGACACACCCCGTGACTCCACGCAGTTGAGGCGCGTGGGATATATTTGGATGCCACGTAAGCCAAAAAGGTGTACAAAATTACAAAAAAATGAGTTCAGGGGGTAATAGGACCTTAGTTTAGTTAAGGTGTGTCTCTGGGATTTGGATCATAGTCTAGGGAGGTACTTCTACCTTTTCCCATAAGAAAATAAAAATTATGTTGTTTGGAAATTGAGAATCTCCATTCGAGTTGAGTCAAAGCAGTTGCCTTGGTTTTAGTCTATCATAAGCAAAAAGACATCAAAACCATGCCTTTTGAGCCTAAAATAATTTTATTTAGGTGGAAACAAATATGACAGTCATTTTGTCTTCAAGTTATTAAGAGTATACACTAAGTAGTCTTAACAAACTATAAAGAAGCATCCAGCAATTATGAGGTCTCTTATCTGAAATCCTATCTATATTGTTTATTATATCTTATGGGTCATGGTTTGTGATATTCTTTTTCCATTTTTGGCTTCATTTATCAAATGAAACAGGCATATCTCTGGTTTGTTAGATGCCACGTCCAAGCTTTTATTTCCCTATTTAACATTATCTTCTAAATGTGGGCTATCCAGATTTACACATGTGCAATGCACATGTCATCTCATATAAAACATAGACAGCACCAAAGACTTAGTTTTGCTTCCTTGCAACATATTATATCTGTTATTTAAGCTGTGTAAGGTAGGTGGTTCAAACAGATCATTTTTCCCCTTCCTATAATTGAATTTTTGTTCAGGATTTTGAGTGTTGGCAGTCATGTGGGTGAGGCATGCAATGATGTCAAGCATTATTGCAAAGAGGGTATCCCCAAAAGTTGATGTTATGTGGGTTGGACCAGTAACAAGATGACACAAATCAATAGCCTCTTTACTGAAAAGGACACTCAAAAGTTTTTTCTTCAAGATTTGTATCAAAATCTATGTCACCATTGGTTCCTTTGGGGACCCTTTCTCATTGGTGTTGACATGTTATTGAAAATTGGTCCCTTGACTTAATCTTCTGCAGCTTTTTGAGGAGATATTGGTTTGTTTGTTCAATTGTTTTCAGCTGAATATGCCTTTAATAAACTCCTTTTTTTTCCCCACAAAATCCAAGTTGTGCTATCTTTTACTTTTAGCATTTTGATGTTCTTGGAACTTTGTTAGTAAAAAGTGGAAATGGCTTCTTGTGGGCCATATTAGAATCTGTATTATGTGGGTGTTAGAGAATTATGATACAGAGAGCAATCTGATAGTATCTTCATGAAAAGGTGCTTTTTTATCTGATTACTAGTTTTGCTCTATAACTCTCTCCTTGATTTTTCCATGTGTTGTACTAGGTATCCCCAACAGGCAAACTTAGTTTTAACATTGTTTGTTTCCTTTAATTGACTAGAAGACTTGGTCCTTTTGGAACTTGAGAAGCCAATATGATGTCAGTAGTGATTTATCTAGCTTAATGAAGTCAGTTACTAGTATTATTCATAAGAAACCCTGGGAAAGTTCTGGAACTTCTAGAAGCGTCGCGAAGTTTCCGAGTCAAAGGATATGTGCAAAATCAGGAATTTCTTGTTGGAAGTATGACACAAGCACATGTTTGAAGATTCTAGGTTTTTGTATAGATTGCAGTTGTTTCAAACTTTGTGAGCTGTAAAAAAACTGGATATGTGAGCTGTAAAAACTGGAGAAAAAGAAAAACTTGCTTTTGGTGACTTCAGTTCAGTAGCAAATGCAGGATTTGTGCATTGCAAGAATCTGTTGGCTGGGAATTTACAGACAAAATCCCTGAAATTTGGCTATGATGATGCACTTTTAGACAATTCTAGAATTGAAGAAGCAATGATGATGCTTGCTTTTGCATACTTTAAGATATTAGAATAAAATAAAATAACATGAGCATTTCTATTTTTGGTATAGAAGCAATGAGAGATGATGAAATAGACACCAAAACTTAGCATGTTAAGGGGAAATGAGAACCTTTTTAGCTACCAACTTTTTTTTTATTGAAAAATAATTGAGTCAACTTGCGAAGGAGAGCTTAGAAGCAACTGTAAAGTCGTCTTCATGTAATCGAGGTCACAAGTTTGAGCTGTAAAATCAGGTATTAATACTTGCATCAGGGTATAGGCTCCTAACTCTATGTATCACGTCCTTCGGTGTGCGATTGTGCTGTCCTTGATTGCACTTTAATGAACTCAGATTATTTTGTGCATTAAGCTACCCTTTATTGAGTCCAACTTGTCACTAGCACAAGTATCAAATAATTCTGCTCACTTAAACTTAAGCAAATGAAAAGGAATCACCTAGTATATTAATAATGTTCTCACTTAACTTTCAGTGTGGCTCGAACCTTTAACTTATCGATTGATAACATCGATTGATAACGAAGATGTTTGACCGCTCAAGCCAGCCTCACTTGTAACAATTCATTTTGCGTGTGGACCTCCCTCGTCATATCCACACACTAAGGCTTCTACCAGACCATAGGTTACACTACCAATAAAATGATAGTGACTATATACATATTTCATTCAGTTTTAGCCTTTTAGGATTCATTAATCATGTTGTACTCCTATCAAATTGTCTTAATCCAATGAATTTGTTTTGATTAAACCTTAGAATGTCGACATGTGTACTACTTCTAAAAATGTGCATTTTATTAATTTGTTAGTGGACAATGGGCACAAGCATAGACTGAATAAATTTTATTATCTGCGTAATAACAAGGTGGAAATCTAGTTATAAAGCAAAAATAAATAAAAATGCTACCCCTTTTTATTTAAAATGTTAGATAATGCCACAGCCCCAGAGAACCAATTTAAATACCAGTAAGTATTAAGAAGAAAAACTAATTCAAC